AGCAGCATTGGAATTTCTCTGAATTCCAGTATAGAGATATGCCAGGGTATAAATCACTCTGGTTTCCTACCAAGTAGGCCTATAAATGCCGTAAGTCTGAGAATGTACCAGCTACACCCAGACTTGCCCTAGGAACAAATGGTGGAAACTATCTGATTTGTTTCCTCACCTCCTTATCATCTTCTCTTGATACTTTTAGGATCTGACTGTCCTTTGTTCCCCTAGGCTTACACTGCCACCTTTACTGACATTGCTAATACCCAAGATCTACTAGGACATATCTCTTTCCCTTCCAAGGTAACAGGTTGTTCATCTAATAAATTAGTCTCCACTGAGGGGAAGATATTAAGGAGAGTCCTGATTTCTGTTAATATTTAAAATTGGCTCTTAAGGAAAATGTGCGTGTTTCTGTTAAACAATCATGGTGAGTAACTTGTGGGGTGGTCATGTCAGTCCAACATGTATATTTTTCTGGTAGTTTTTTTTTTCTTAACAGCATGGCACCACCTGATCTCTATCATTGAGGAGAGTGCTTACTTGAAGTAGCACAGTTAGAAATGAACTAACTCAAAAGGAAAATATAACTGAAAAAACTGATTAAGTAATTTTGGCTTATCTGCCTATGTTTATTAAATAGAAGTAACAAACATAACAAACACTAGAATATATCTATGCCAGTGGAATGACTACAATTTCCCAGGGTTATCTCACAGGTTCTTTCATTTTACTAACAGGAAGTTGTAGAAAATCACACTTATTCTGTGACCTCATAGCAATATGAATGTAAATAAAATCTTTTAAAGATATCCTAGTTAAATCTTTTTCAGTATAAAACAAAGTATAAAATCGGCATTTTTTCCAATTAATCTGCTCAGCAGAGATAACAGAACCAAAATAGTTCAAGCCACTGTTTAACCCCATGTAAATTGCACAACTGAAAAACCTGTACTGATTTTTGCTCTAAATCAGTTGTTCATCAGAATCAACTGTGGAGCTTTTCATACACATATATGCTTAGATTACACCTCAGAATTACAGTGAAATCTCTTGAGGTAGAGGGGAAGCATCTGAACTTGAAAAGAAAAAACCTTATAGGTAGGTTGAGGCGTTGTTGCACAGCCATGTGTGAGAATCAGTGGGTTTTCCTTTATCCAGTTCTGTCATCTAATGAAGATTCACTCTGTGCCAGGTACTTGACAAATACTTTAGTCACTTAATGCTCACAACAGCCCTAAAAGGTAGGTTATTTTTAATACCCATTTTAAGAATGAGAAAGCTGAGGCTTAGAGAGGTTGGGCAACTTGCCCAAAGTCATATACCAAGGACACAGGAGAGGGAGAACCAGAATTCAGGTCTGCGTGAATACTTTTAACCGAGACAACCGTGAACTTGAAAGGCCTTTTTAATATACAGATTCAAAATGTATGGCCGTATTTTATAGCTGTAATTTCCAACCTAGAAGCTTCAATTTTGCTGCTTTGATTACCCTAAGAATATCTGGAGCGTACAGGGATTGTTTCATTTTATGGCCTTAAAAGAGAGCCACTATATTCATGTGAAAGAAGACATGGTCTAATAGGTAAAAGATACTTTAAAATTATAGGTAAAATGTTTTGCTTTCTTTATATAAAGGTCATAGATGACTTTCTATCTCAGTTCTTAATTCAGAAACTCAAGGAGCTGCTGTAAACTACCTATTAATTTCATTGTAAAAATTATTCAGATATGAGGCAGAAGAGCATGATTTTCCTTTCAGGTCAATTTCTTATAAAAAATAATAATTGTGTAAAATCATTGCTGATAAATGCAGTTTCCAGTGTGGACTGCGCAATTTTAGGATTTGTTCTTTTTGATTTGGGACTGACACCAATATTTAGAATAGTGATGACTCATGTCTAGGACTGAAATTTGTTTTTCATGGGTTTATATAGTTTTCCTCTTGAATTGCACCAAAAATGGTTTTTTAATTGGCTTTAACTCATGCCCAGTAAATTGGACGAAAATTGATTGCCGCAGTCATGTTTGTTTTAAAATTATTCAAGACTGCACCATGAGTCAAATGAGTGCCTGAGTGAGGGCAGCGACACTTTATGTCCTCTGTATATGACAAATAAGTTTTTTTTCAAAACGGTCGTCATTCATATCTTACAATTAATATATGTCTGTGGTTTATAAAACTTAAAAGATAACAGAACACATTAAAATACATCATATTAAAAAATAAGTTTATTTTTGTATTTTTTCTTAGTACCTTCTTTTCTAGTTCTACCAATGTCATAAATCTAATAACAGTATTCCTTTTAAGATAAATAATACCTGTTAGATAGCTGTTGTTAAATTCTTGGTCATGGTATTAGAATATTTCTAAATAGCAAAACGAAATAAGTAAGAATGTTCAGAAACTGTGCCATCAGTCACAGTTGAGATATTGAGCCAGTTTTCCATTCTCTGAAGAGTGATTTTAAAGACAAAAATTAAACAATATGAAAATTGAATTAACTCAGGTGACTGTTTAGGACATTGAAATAGCAATTCACTAATGGTACCTGTCTGGAAGCCAGTTTTTGTTCAATCTCATTATAATTATTTACTGTATTATGGTTTTCACTTACTTATATGCCATAGAAATATAAACAAATCACTTTAAGGGTTTTGCTGGCTGGGAATGAAGGTTCGTTTTATGAGATTCTTGAGCAATTTGAGAAAAGATTTAATAGGGAAAAAGAAATGATTAATTCATTGAAAAGAAGAACATTCCTTGGCCATAATACAGATAGTAAGTGAAAGAAATAATTTATTTTATGGTATATAATTAATATTAGGCAATTTTAATTGGACAGGATAGTTATACCTGATATTGTTGTCTAAGAAAATGGTAGAGCAATTTCTGAGATTTTTGTCATATCTATTTTTCATGTGTATTAAATCTCAATGTGTTTTTATAAGTGAATGTTACTGTGTTTATAAACTGTAAAGCTCACAGGGTGTTACTCTGACCTCTCTCTTTATCTAAGTTGTCTTTTAAGAGGTCACTGGTCCTTACCATCCAGCATCTAGCGCCTGCTCCCACCTGGTGGCTGTAGGCCCTCAAGCTTGAGCTGTAGAGTTTTTTCTTTCTGAAACAATAAACTACCTGTTTTTCTGATTTATGAATAAGAATGCATGCTCAGAATTTTCACAAACCCAATAATGCAGAAAATGTAAAGAAAAAAAGTGACTATAAATCCAACTCCCATTACCTCAAAATAGCCACTGTTTAGTGTTCTAGTAAACATCCTTTATATGATGTTTAATATGCTTAATAATCTTTCATAAATATCTTCACATTTCATTACATAATAAACACTACTTTTTTAATGGCTTTGTAACTGTTTACTATATGGAGTAGACATCTTAAAATATGTAAAAGCTAAGTAATTAAACCACAAAACAATGTTACCTGCTGGTTAGAACAGTCAAGGACATCTTATATAAAATATTTCTCAAAATTCTATTATATTTGACCTGAATCTTTTTAAAGGAACAAATCATCCAACTATAAATTTTCTCTCTCTTCTATTTGTCAGCAGTAGAGAGCACGGCAAGGTATAGGAGTATGATTATTTCTGAAATAAAAAGGAGAGCTTTATCTGTTTATGTTCATTGTAATATCTATTTTCCGTAGGCTTTTGTTCTCTTGCAAGTGTTATGTCATCTGTAATTTCTGTTTTATTTCTTTAAAATTACAACATTGTACATCTGGAAGTACCTTAGAGGTACTCTAATAAATAGTGGCTAAGGAAGGACTTGGGCCCTAGAAACAGCCTGTTTATGGTGAAATCCCAGCTCTGTTAATTTCTAGCTGTGTTATCTTGGGCAAATTACTTAACTTCCTCAGTTTCCTTATCTGTAAAATGATAAGATTCTTGTGAGGGTTAACTGATTTAATGCATGTAGAGCATTAGAATGCCACCTAGCTTACATTATTATTACTAATTTAGTCTCCTCCCGGGAATCATGAAGTTTAGTCAGAGTGACTTTCTGAAGAGAATCAGCTAGTTAGTGGGAGAAATAATACTAGGACTCATGTCCCCTTTCTCCACATCTAGAGATCTTTGCTTAATGCCACAGTGCGTGCTTTCCCAGGAGTGTTTTCAATGCCCTCCCTTAGGCACAAAGGTATCTTAGAGGCGTCCAGGGCTATGTAGAGCACCAGCCTGACAGGCTTTTGTCCCTGGTTTCTCTCCCTCACAGCTTCTGTGGACTCGTCCGTGGGCTCGTTGGCTCAGAAACATTATATGCTGAGAGCCCTATCTCTTTCCCAGTGCTGGTGGAAATATTTTGGCCATCAAAACACTTTCATTATTGTCAGTGTCATGAACCCTTCTTCTATACCTGTCAGTCTTTTCCTCATATCTATTATAGTCTGACTCTGCCACCTCATTGCAAGGAGTCTCGAATTTTCGACGAAAGCTTCTTAACCCTGCTTATATGTTGGTTCTAATTCCTCTACCTTTGGGTATCTTTCTGGTTGGCATTTCTAAAATTCACAGTTGTCAATAGGTGTATCCTGTTTCTAATAGTTGTATATCTGTACTTCCCTCTACTGGCTTTCAAAGCCAGCATAATGTGACAACACAATACCCACAAACCTGATTTCCTATGCTTTGTAGCCTACTTCTTCTACTATAGACAGGCTGGTATACTCCAACAAATTCTTGTAATTTTCACCTCTCAACCTCCTTTTATTTGCTCTAAAACACACACACACACACGCATGCACATACACCCAATTGAGTAGATTTATATAAAGACCTTTTAAAACCAATGACTGAACACTATAATATATATGAGTATTTTCCTCTTTCATACAAACCTTACAAAGAGGCTCAAACTTTCATGTATCCTTTTGATATAACTAATATGGAGACACATGTATCTTTTCATATTCATTTTACATCTAGAAATATTAGTATTCAGTATACATCAGGACTCTATAAGTTAAATAATAAGCACTGACATAAAAGAAAGTTTTTTATTGTTTGCACAAGGAATCTAGAAATACCATCTAGAGGAAAAAATTCACAGTAAATTGTGTCAAAGTAATTCAAGGAAATGTCTATTTGTTACTCACGCAGCTTAAACAGTCTATAACACCATTCATTTGCGTTACATCTTCCAACTCACATTTACAAAAACTGACATTTCAAGCAACCATATTCTCTAATTTCTCATACTAGAATGACAATGATCAAAGGTATAGAATATTATTTCTATTACAACAGTATCCTCAGCCTTATCAGAGAAATGGATTTTCTACTTAATCACATCAACATGAAGAGTTAAGAGGGGTTAGTGTGAAATGGCAATAAACAGCAGCACTGGCTGTTCTGTGTGCATGCATATGTGTTTCTTCTTGGTGCTAATTACACTTGCTCATAGAAGTCTGGCAGTCACATGACTGGGCTTGACCTTGAGTGGATCAATTTTATTAAATTATATGATACATTTAAGATGCAGACAGATGCCCATTGAAGCTTAAAACAAAAACATTAAGTCTGTTTTCTGTTGTTACCTACAATGAATTTAGATCTCTAAAAGTTTAAGGTTCATTCTTTTATAAGGCTGCAAAATATTTCCTTCCATTTCACTTACTCACTGAACACAGCTATAGCTCCATCTATATCAATTCATAGCAGTGTAAGCCCAGGAGGGAACTGCAAAACTATAAAGCATAAGCAAGTTTTAGTATTCTTCTGATATTCTATATTTTATAATGTCAAGTGGATGTTAGTTATACACTTTTGTTTTATTCAAAACAAACAAACAAAAAACCATTATAAAAAGCCCTTTATACAATCTACCTCTATATTCCTTTAGATATTTATTTTGATAGATTTTTCAAGCACCATCTAAATAGAAAACTAGAGCAGAAAATACTGTTAGCCTATGTAAATGGAATAAAGATAATAGCCTATAAAAATATATGTGGAAATGGGAGAATGAGCCGAGGGAGAGGTGAGTGATAAGTAGATTGGAACTAGTTCCTTTCAATGCCATAAATGAGTAATAACCTTTAAAATCTTGCCTTAGAAATTAACACATAATTGTAAATAAGAATAATGTATGCATATATAAAATTGAATAATAAAAGTGTCTCAACATAAAATCAAAATATTTTAATTTGATTAGACTGTGATGGTATATATTTGACTCAACTTGATTTCATCAAGTAATTAACTGAATTATAAGCTATAGTTAATGCCAAACACTAATGTTTGAGCCTAACTAAAGTAACAGTAGCCATAATTAATGCCAAAAACAGTAAGATTGCAGAAAGACTGACATCCGGGAAAACTATTTCTATTAACCTTAGAAATGTTACCTAAATTCCTAATGCCTCTGTTATGCCCCCTGAAAATGAGAGATAATTTATGTCCTTCTTTACTTCCTGGGGTTACAGTGATAAATATGTAGAAGTACTTTGAGCTTTTTGTGATAAAAGGTACGATAAAAATCTAAGGTTTTTTTTTTTTTTATTATATCAGTCAAATGGGATCTCAGACTCAGTTCCTTTTTGAAGACCCACAACTTTTTATGGGTGAATCATGAAATTGTATTGGGAAATATATTGAAGTCACATAACAGGGCAGATAGAAGACTTTATGCCTTTTGGTGCCTTTTAAACTTGGTTGCAATTAGAAATGTGAGATAATATTTATCATGAAATATATTAGTTGGGACATTAATGAGAGCTAATGAAAATATTTAAGAGACAGTATGCAAAGGCAGGAATTCTAATTCTGGCTCCATCAAATAAATGTGATAAGTTACCATTTTTGTTCTCATAATTGTAGTTACCATATATTGACTGCTTCCTCCATGCCAGGAAGTTTTGAGTATTTTATACTGATGATTACATCTAACCTCACAGTGATTCTAAATTAAGCATTATTATCACAATTTTATAGATTAGAAAATCAAGGTTTAGAAGCAATAAAGTAACTTGTCCAAGGCCCCGTGAAATCAAGTTCAAATCCACGTGTCTAAAGTCAAAACCCAAGCCACTAGCAATTTGCAAAACTGTAGCTCCTAGAAGGATAATATCCCTTCTATGATATTCCTACATAAAGGAGTAATTTTTTGACAAGTTATATTATTTAAAAAGTGATTTTGTGCAAAAATTTGTAAGGATAAAAAATAACAACAACATAAACCAGACACACTGTGAATATGCATTATACAATATATTAACAGAGTTATTTAAACCTCTCAAATTTTCTATTTACTATCATTTCCTAAAATATAATCTGATTTCCTTCAAGCATTTATTGTCTCTAATCTAATATTGTTATTCTGGCACATGCTAGGCACTCAGAGGATGCTGAATCAAATTGAAATGGGCCTTTTGTCAAAGATTAAGAAAAATATTTAGAAATACTAAGGGATTATGTATTGCTCCTTTGACCCTTACCTGATGATAAATGTTATATCTGGAAGGACATAATTAGTTATGTGTGATATTTTTGGTAATAGAATTATAATCAGTCATTAAACAAAAACATTAAGACTTTTGGATATTTCAAAAGCTTCCAACATTTTTGCCTTAATACATCATAGGAAGATTGTTTGCCTTAAAAATATAATATCCCATTTCTCACAGAGGGGGATTAATAATTGAAAATCCTTTAAAAAACTAACTTTACATTTTTAGTTATTTTTTATTTTTCATCATTTATAATGAATTGCTATGCCTTTAGAAACCATATATAGCATTCGCTTTGTGACAAAAAAGTATATAAAAACAAGATTTTTTATACTAATTTCATGCTAAAAGATTTTATGTTCATAATGAAAATGTCACTTCTTAAAATTATCTTAGTTTTGAAACGCTATAATTTAAATTTATAAAGTATCTTCACATTTCAAACTTAGCGACAGTGTATCTTTTCATCTTTATGCAAATTCACATCTTAAAAAAGTCTTACCTGTATTAAAGAATAGTTTAAGCTGTCCGTTGTGTGCATATTTTCAATTTGATTAAGAAAAAAATAAAAATCATAGCTTAAGGGGCTTATTAAAGCTGGTAATTCAAACTGTTTTCTAACAAGCAGAAAAATATCTTTGTTATCAGATTATTGGAGATAATATAATACTGCCTAAAATGCTGGAATTCATTAAAATAATATTTCTTAATATACATATATAGTAGCCATTATTTAAACCAATATAACTTTATGGAAAATGATGGTATGGAAAGGAAAAGTTAGCTTACATAACCATAAATTTCTCTCTCATTAAAGGATACACAAGGCACAAATTCATCCATACACTTAAATTTAAAAGAATAAAAAAAACCCAAACACCTATTTTTTTGTTAGATATGAAGGATTTTTGCATATAACAATTCAACAGAAATGTCTTTGAGATTTCATGACCTATATTTATTTGCTTACTACCCTATGAATAATCAAATAACAACTTCAAAGTTTATAATTGTTTTTAATTCAAGTAGTTTAATAGTTGCTAAAATTTATGACAGCATGTTAAAATTTTTCTCATCATTTTTTCCAACAAATTCATTTTTTATTTTTCCTTACCCTAAAGTGATATAAGCCTTTATATTGTCAGTTAAGTGCATTCTGACATTGGTCACATTTTTGAAGTTAAACAAAATAAAAATTGATTCATTTTCTAAAGCTGCATTAACTATGTATTGTCAGCTGAAGGTAAATTTTATAAATGTTTCTAAGACTTAAAATGTAAATGCCCTCGTGGAAAATGCCATGTATCTTCTCATACTTGCTATGCACCTCATAAATGGACACCAACGAACTTGCAATTCACTTAAGACACAAAGAACAAGGTACAACACTAAGACATTAATGAATCAAGACGACAATGTCACTGGCTATATGCTGGTCATTACATATATTAAATATTTGTGAAAACATCTATTTAAATAATGCATAAAATTTCAAACCTCATATCGCAAAGAGCAGCAGAAAAATGTAGATATAAAGTGTGCGGTAAGAATCAGGTATGTGTTAGAGTACATACCTGGGATTTTTTTTGTTTCCTGTATTATCCTATAGTAATTACCTGGGTAAAGGGAGGAGGGAGTTGAAAAATAACTGTTATTCCTGTAAGTAGGTAAGCAGATTCTTTCCTGTAGATGACAACTTCTTAGGCTATTGTAAAAATCATCCTGGAATCTCTCCCGTGGCCCTATCACTGCAACCAAAAGGACAGGTTAACTTCAGTTTATGGTAACTCCTCTGTATCCGGTTGATCTGCTTTTCTTTCAACGATAGGAAAACTTTAGAGTCCATTTGATATCCACTTCCCCTCACCCCTGCTCAGATGAAGACGGAATTCCCTTTTATACCAGACTGATTTAAATTGTCCCTTGATCTCTTATCACACCAAACTTTACACAACTCCATACTGTACTTTTCAATTTGTTTATTCATAGTAGCTATGATTAGGAATCATGGCCAGATGCTGTGTCCCTTTTCCACTTCTCCTCACAGCTTCCCTTCCCCAAATAATTTTTAAGCCCCGTGGGCTTTTTCTTCTCTCTCACTGCCCCCTCCCACTACATTTTTTTTTAAAACAATATTCCATTCCAGGCGCCCCCTCTGCCTGCCGAAAGCATTTTAATGACAGTTTACTTTAGCGGTCTATCAGCAGACTGCTGCCTCTGCCACCTGAATTTCAATTTCTTAATTTACAGCCCAGATAAAACAGAATGGAGCAGGATCTGGGCTTCTCTCTACATTGGGTTGGCCTTATCAAGCGTGAAGTTTGGCGCATTGCAAACCTATTCAAGTGATTATCTGTTGAGGACCTCTCGAGCCATCTCCATCTCTGCAGCGGGCTGATAAGACAGCTGTTTCTCTAGCCGCTGTGTCTCCCCGGGCCTCAGTCTTCTTCTGATACAAACTCCGCCTTTGTCACCGTGGCCCGGTGCCGGCACTTGCTCTGTGGGGCAAGGGTTTGATCTGAACACACGTGGGGGTAAAAGTGTGAGCGCGTGTGAGAGCCGAAGAGGGAGGAATGAGGGGGGGAGGGCCAGGAGAGCGTGAGGGGGAGGAGGGAAAGAGTTAGAGACCGGAGGGAGGTGGGGGGCAGGGCGGCGTGCCGAGCGCCCTGGATGGCTCTGATTGACTGGTTGCTCAGCCCGGCTTTATTATTTCAAATTAGACGTGTATCGCACACAAGTGGAAACATAAATCTTCAATATAAGAAAGAGCCTCCGAGCATCGGAAGCAGAAAAACCGTTTCATCGGAGGTCCCGGTAAAGGGGCCGGAGAAAAGACTGATTACTACCAGCTGAGACAGATGGTTTCCTTTAACTTTGGAAACTGCTATTTTTAATTGCTTGTATTAATTTTGCATGAGATGTATCGGCTCCAGGGGGAAGCTTAAAGAAGGCTGTTAGTATCCCTGAAAGAAACGGACCTGAGGCTCTGATTTGCCCTTTTTCACCTCCGGTTTTTGTTTTGTTTGTTTGTTTGTTGTTTTTTCCTTCACCCTCGCCTAGTCGCCTAGATTTTCTCTTTGCATGCTCAGGAAAGACGTGAGTCTATCCTCCTAAAAGTTGCTATTGAGTAAAAGACGGGAGGGAAATCTGGGGACATTTGTGAGAGCGTCTACATAAAATAATCGTCGATCTGAGGCTGCAAATATATTTCCTAGACACTCTGGGACATGTGCAACAGATCTTAGTCTGAATATCTGCAGGCAAATCATCTAAAGGAGAATGAACCTCATACATTGGTCCAGGAAAAAAAAAAAAGTGTGTGTGTAGGTGGGGGGGGCTGGGAAGGGAGAACCAACCTAAGCTGGTCTCAAAGATTTACCGCGACACTAGTTACATTTTTAAAAAGAACATTTAAATGAACAACTCATGTGTCTTTAAGTTTGAACAGCAACCTCAGGATTCAGGGGGAATATTCGTTGAGTGTGCTCTCTTACTTTACAGTCTTTCCCCCTTGAACAGGAGTTTAAAGACACAATGTAAAGAGAAAGTAAAGGATGTTTGAGATCCCGCTCACTGCCGCCCCGGCACTGTCCCCAACGAAAGTGTTTGCAATGTAAAGAATCTTTCGCAAAATAGTCTTGGGAGTCACTCACCTTCGAGTAAAAGGCTTTACCCCTTTGCTAGGGGTTGGAAGGAGCAGTGAGAAGAACCGGGGGAAGGGAGCAAGGGTGAGCAGATAGGCATTTTTGCTGCAATTCCAGCTGGGAAATTCGAGGATTAAAAACTCTGGAGCAGGTTTACCAGACTTTTCGAAGACTACCTGGATTTGCATTTATTTTGCATGAACACTCTGAAGAAAGGCGGGCTCACGCCGGCAAGGGAGTGTATGTAAAAGAGGACAGTGGAAGGTGCGCAGCCAGTTCGGGGCTCTAACTCTCCTGGCGGTTTGTCACGATGGCTGAGTCCTAAGAAAAGCCAGCCTAAGTCAAAATAAATGAGTTTCTGTGGAGTAGGACAGTCTTTTCCACAAAGTCCCGTAGAAAGAAACATTCCCAAGACGCGCAGTTTCCGTGTCTCACAGAAAGGGACAGAAAACACTGTGTCAAGCTTTGCAAATCTTAATTTGAGGGCTGCTCGTCTCTGTCCATGGTGCTAATTCTTGCCTCTCTCTCTCTTGCATGGTTGCCATGGTATAAATTCACACTGGTGTCAATTTTCACAACTTTTCCCCCCTTACAGTGGAAGGCAAGTCCACATACTACTTTAAGAAGAATAAAAGAGTAATCAGCAAGGTATATGATATCTGTATTTCTCATGCAGACATTAAACTATCACATGTCCAATATTATGAACCACAACCCCCTACTCCACCAAACTAACACATAATATTTTTATTCACCTAAGAAGGTTTACTGTTGGAAATTACTGCCTTAAGCCAAACATTTAAGCTCATTTTAATAGTTTAACTTCTTTGTTTACTTGAAAAACGTTACAAGTAGTTTATAGTAACCTTTATTATAAAATGTAAAATCACTCCCTCCTTTGCCCCCAGGACCTCTAGTGTAAGGGAGTTATTTATCCTAAAAAACATTTTCCACAACAGCTTTGCATATTCTTGTGAATAAATGTTCTTTTATATAGAACCTTTAGTAAAAGAATCAAATTCATTACTTTTTCAGTTTTGAGAACAATTCTTTTGCAACTTTATCCACCTCACACTTTTGCTCCAAGTTCGCAGTCACTCCATCTCTCCCTTTTCTGCTGCAATTCAAAATAATGCCAGAAACTTGGAAGATATGTCAGAGTTCATATGACTTAATCATATTCAAATGTCTTTTAAATATTTTCTAATGCAAATTCAGATGTTGTGGATAATTATTTTACCAAACTGAGTGAAAAGGGGTTCATTGCATTTTTTGCTTATTCTTAAGTGAGATGTTTGCACATAGCCTTCATTAATTAATCGCAGGATAGTATGTATTTGTTAATGTTTCAAGCTATGAGACATGAATTTCAAAGTGAAATCTACATCCAGATATCACTTGTTTTAAAATGGCTGTAATCAATATTTTTTATTCTTAAAAGTTGAAAAAGTACACGTTACTTATAATACATCTATCCATTTAAAAGTTTTAAAATGTAAAAACATCTGTTTTAATGAGGAGGTAAAATAGTATTTTAAGATACTTTCACTTTTTAAATTAAGTCCCTTTTACCTACATAAAAACACAACATATTAGGCATGACAATACTTTGAATAATATTTTGTCACTCTTCCTGAACTGAAAAAAACCCATAAATACTGAATCTACAGAATTTAGCATTTTGCATTTGAATGAACAAGTTTACTGTTTTCCATGTAATTTCTTTACATAATACACATGCTAGATTTTTATTACTCCATGTCACTCCCAGCTTTCCACACCTGCCCTATCATTTTGGGTTATCTACAGATAGATATCATAGTTATCTACAAATCTTTTTTGTGGATATAAACATGCACCCAAAAAAAGTATTAGTTTCCACCTAGTTAGAAGGCACTTATATAATTATAATGGTGAAGATTTACTTCAATGTACTGAAATTGTATGGGCATATGCAGCTAATTCAATATTAACTTAAGAGTATGTTAAGAAGGAGGAAAGACAATTCACTTCATAGGTAAGTCTGATTAAATCAAACAGTATTATACTTTCCCCAAATTTTATTCATTTAAAGGTTATTTTCTCTGTAGGGAGCTGGGAACAAGGGGAGGGTTGAAGGAAGATGACTACAAACCCAGTCTTTTGTTATTCATACATCTATTCTAGATGGGGTGGAGTCTTTCTGTCTTTTCCCCCTTGACTCCATTTCTTCAAAGTTCTTTTCTTTCTTCTTGCTATGAGTTTCATCCAGATCTAAAGAATAGTTTTAAGTTGAAATTAAGACTCCAGAGGTTGTTATATAAAAAGTGGGGGTAGAGGTTAAGGCATGATTTTATAAATGCTAATTATAAGATGGCATAGATTCAGGCCTTCATTCTCAACCCCCAGTTATTGTCATGCAAAGTAATAGAACTCGTATATTGTTATACAGGCTACACGGGAGATAAACAGGTCTGTTTTTCACCATTAATCATTTATCAACACTTAAGGACACTCTCAAAGAACACTGATTTACGGTATTCCTCACTTCCAAGTCATTTTGCTTTGGGATCATCTGTCCCATTCCCCTCCAGGACACCCCATCCTTTTGCAATCTGTAACTCTTACCTGTGTCTTCTTTTCTGGCATTCTCAAAGATAGTGACTAGTTGTAAATATGTAAAGGAATCCCTTTCAAAAAGGCTTGTGCCTCTGGAGAAGATACATTACATTGTTTGTGTAAGAATGGTAAGAACTGTCTAGGAAGTTGGTGCTATCTTTCAAGATGGAAAGGAGAAATTCTGGCTGGAAAAGAACGTAGGTCAAATGAATATTGTGTCTACTTACACATCCAGACGATCCTGAGGACCTCACTTTCACTTAGAGGAAGAAACAATTATCATGCATAAAACTGTATTCGGTCTCCTGAATGCTGTTAAAATATGGAGTTGTAATAAAGTAGTCTTCCTCTATGAAGCAGACACATTGACAGCACTTGGTCTTCTGGTTAAACTTCTTAAATCCTCACAGAAAGAGCCCTGATAAAGGTTCGACTATCTTTGCTGTCAGCAATACATGTGTAGCCCAAGGACTGTACCTGTCTGCAAATGCAGAGGAGTGGCTTGTTGCGGTTTTATATACAGCTGCTCTTTTTGAGAGCCATTAGACACCTCGAAGTGAAGGACCTTAGCTCTACTCAGTACCTCTTTTTCTGGATAGGATATTTATCCTTCACTTTTCTATTCTAACATGAAGTGAAAACTAATTCAAACCGTGCAGCTTTATTTGAGAGCATTTCTGACTTCATCCTTGTCTTAAAAGGATGCTTTAAAAAGGGTTTGATGGGGTCACATAAATCTGAAATATGCATATATTAAAATAAAGACATACGATTACCTAACATCTAATACAAAATACAGTACTGAACACAAATTGAAAAAAGGCATGCAGGCAAGTAATGAATGTACATTCATCCCTTTCACTCAGATCAAAGAGAGGGAGCTCTCAATGACTCATACATACCGGACAGGGAGTTAAATGTTATAAAGAAATATGCCATAGATGCAGCAATGATGGCAAAGGAAATGAATCTTTCTGAAGCAGAAAGATTTAAGAGGAAAGGAGATCGTGCCATATCGCAAACTCTGATAGTACAGTTCCAACCCTCCCACGTTGCTCTCTCCACATTTCTTTTCGCTTCTTGCATTTCCCTTCGCCGCCAGTGTTGAGTGTACCTCCCCGCACAACTTACCTTGAAACGGGACTCCATTGAGCTCTCGAGAGTGACACAAACCCATAGCCAATCGTCTCACGCGGCCCCGCCTGGTCGGCCTCAATGGAAACGTCTGGACCAATCAGGATCCTGGGGCGATGAGCAAGTTACGTTGTGGCGCGATTCGGCGTATACTTCCGCGCGTGCTGCCCGGGATAGGAGCCTGGCAGAGCAGCTGCACACACGGCAGTGCGGAGGCAGAGAAGGGGTTGGTGATACGGTGCTATAAATCTGTGGTCCAGTCCACCTCCCTTTTAAGACGTCCTCCCCCCTATTTCTGTTCTCAGTTAGAGATGCAGCAGCTTACTCCTGTAGCGACCTACTAAAAAGCAACAAGGAGAAAGACATCGTCTTTTTGAAAAAACGTTCTTTCGTCTCTTTTCTTTGTTCCTTGGTTTGTTTTTCTTGCCCCTTTTTGTTTAGTTGAACGGCAATAGGAGGGCAGTCTCTCCGTCTTTTTAAACTCTTTTTTAAGTTTCCCCTCCCCTTTCATATTTTTTTTTTCGCCATTTCTTTTAGTATTGGACTTTGGGGTCGAAAGCATTTCTTTTTATTTGCTTCTTTTAAGCCGAGCACAGTTTAGGTTTCGTGCTGTCTTAAGAGAACTATCCAGCAGCTTCTTGCTCATCCTTATTGGGAGAACTGCACCGTTATTTTAAAAACACACACACACAAAAACCTTAAGGGAGAAAGGTAAGTTTCGGTTTGGTTTCTTTAATCATTAGTTGCAGCGATGCGCTGGCAAACCCAGAAAACCTGTAAGTGAGCGGAATACAGAATATGAAGTTAATTGCACATGTTTGTCTCATTTCAAAGCTACTGTTCTGCTTTTTTAATTTTAAAGAGCTAGACTAAAAGACGGTGGACGCATGCTTAGCGTACTGAATATTCGCAAATGTCCATGGCAGAAACTTCAGTGGCAAATGTGGCCAGGGGGGAGCAGGGGTACAATGGGAGGTTAGATGTGGAGTGAGCTTCAGCATTGAGATTGGAAGTTCATTTCGTGGGAAGAGAGGGATAACTTGGGTGTTGGGGATGCATGCCTCTACTTTCGCTCAGCAACCGAAGAACCGGAGAGGCTTTAGAATCATTAAGGGGAATCAGAAGCCTGGACTGGCAGATTAGACCAGCGAAAACCACAGGCTTAATTGCATTAACCAGATAGCATGTGCTGGGGAGATGGGATTGCCAGATGGAATTTAGATGCTGCACCAGGCAGCGAGTTGTAGTTGACTGAAAAAGTACATGCCGCCTGAGGGCTGGGGCTGGGGCTGGGCTGAGGCTAGGGTTGTTAGAAGCTGTCAAAACTCATCATTGTATGCGGGCTCTGATTCAGGGACTTCAATTATCATAATTCAGTTTTAAAAGAAGATAGCCAGTTTGGGGCTGAATTCTTAAGCCTGTACCGGATATGAGATTCCCTTTGTTCGAAAAGCGTAAATAAGATCCTTGGAGCTGTGTCTGTGAAGTGGCGGCTGCTTGGGAGCCTCGCTGTGCTGGGCTCTGGGAAGTGGATTCCAAGCCCTGTCCTTGGTCCTACGCGGCTGACTTCGCCTTTGGGGCGAGGGGGAACCCCTTTGCAGCCGCGAGTCTTCGCAGCCACCATAGGAGCCAACTCGGCTACGTAGCCCTTACCCCCTCCTTATCGCCCCCCCCCCCGCCTTCCTCGAATAGCTATTGTTAAATTGACGCCAGGAGAAAGATGGTTGGGGATGAGAAGCTGGGCAGATAGGCACACGCTTCATTTTAACTTTTGTGATTTCTCAGGGTTTAGGAGAAACCAGTTGGCTTTCTACTGCCAAAGAGAGGATCCAGGGTAGATGTGGGAAAGGGGGAGGATGCTCGTGGGGCGGGGAGGGCGGAGGGGGTGGTGGTGGTGGAACGAGGTGCTGGCTTTGCCTAACAGAAGTTTAAATTATTGGCACGAGGGTGTGTGGGTGAGTGTGTGTGCGTGAGAGCGCTCATGTGGTGCTCGGGAGGCAGAGGATGGGGAAAAGCTACAAAGCCGGCTGGGGTTAACGTCTCCTTGCTCCTCACCCCACCCATTCTCCCGGCTGGGAAAGACAGCGCACCGTCAGCCTCCCGGACTCGACTCTGCGAAGGGCGGTGGGGGCTAGGGATGGCAAGGTGGCAGTGCCCACCACTGGAGCTCCGCGGCGGACGAGACCTCGCGTGGCCATTGTTGCTTAATTTATGCCCAGCACGTTGCTACGTACCCACCTATTTCACGTCTGTACAGAATTAATACGAGAGCTATACAACTGTGACAAATTGGAGGTTGGATACGTTCCCCGTTTCCCATTTTCAAGTACCGGTTAGCAAAACTGATGGCGAGACTGGGTATTTTCTCTCGTAATTACCAGCTGCAGGTCTGGTTTTATTATGGCGAGGGTGAGAGAAATAGGCAACCATTTAGTATTTACTCTTAACACTGCTGGACAGGGATGTAGGTCTCTGTACTTTCTCCCCGAAATGCACGGATTCTGTCCCCTGCCCTTCTCATGTACAAACACTCCAGTTGGTTAATATTCTAAACCTTCAGCCTTTCTCCGCACCCCTATTTATTATACCCATCCTCTGGGGGGTGGGAAGGAGATTAATGTTTTATTTCCCAGGCCTACACTATTAACTGCAACCTATAAAACGTAGGCTTAAAATGAAAATTTTTAGAAAGTTACACAGCAGACAATAGTAACTGAAGAAATTATTTTCCAAGTTGA